TGTTATGGATATTTGAAAGTGTTGCTAATAATAATAATGAATTAAATAAAAAACATAAAAAACACAATACTTGTAGATGAAGACTTGGAATTTGTTGACACCTCTAACATTATACATCCTGCCGATGATGTTGAGGCAAAGTGGAAATTACAAGATCTATTTAAAGATTCTCTTGGGTAACTGCATATTTAATTTTGCTAATAAATGAATAAAAGAGAAAATTTGGTTTTAAATGTATTATGAGATAAATTAAAAGATTATTTTATTTTAGTTATTTGATAAAATTCATTATAAATTAAGTTTAATATGTTATGACATTATGGGCTAATTGGACTTATAATGTCCAATTAGTTTTCTTTTAGCCCTTTTGTCCTTACGGTCAATTAGCTTGTGCCCAAAAGCCAGTTGACTGGCAACACCACCTTTAATCAAGACAATAAATAGTAATAGTAAGGTTATAAATAATTTTATTTGAAGAATTATTAGTGTAAATCATAATTTAATATTATTATTAAGTGAATTTTAGAAATCTATTCTTGATTCATTGTAGTTTTTTGTGATCATCTGATTGTTTTAATATTAAAAAATTAAATGTTTTATTACAAACGGAAAATGATTTATGAGTAATTTTATTAAGAGATTTTTTTATGAGAAGAATATTCTGAGATTATTCAACCTCATGTCTTAACTCTCAAAAATTATACATGTATTTATACCTTCGATGGTACTACAAATTATATGACTTTTGCATAATTTTGTCCAATAAAATATAATAGTAATAAAGATAAAATGATGCCTCCAATGATATAAACATTGATTAGTAATATATATCAGAGGTTGTAAATATTTATAAAAATGATAACATAATGATTACTCATGTTCAGTGCCAAGTTTTTCTAAGAATTTCTACAACAAATTCTTGCAGGCATTATATAAATGGTCGCTAGACTTCACATAGAGGTTGTAATCGTCCAAAAAAATCCTTAATCAACTATTTGGTCGATTAAAATTTTTTTTTTAATTTACAAATTATGAATTCATTTCCATTTTTCAAAATACTTCTACACAAAACCAT